TAAACCACTAGAAAACCGGAAGTGGCGCTGTGGCTCAAGTGGTAGAGCGCTAGCCTTGAGCTGAAATGCTAAGGGACAGCACCCAGGCCCAGAATTCAAGCCCCACGACCAACAAAAAAATAAAAATAAAAACAAAAAACAAAAATCAAAAGACAGAAGTGGCCCTGAGGCTTAAGTGGTAGAGGGCTAGCCTTGAGAATAAATTGCTCAGGCCCCAAGTTCAAGCCTCAGGACAATAAAAAAATTAAGCAGGGGCTGAGAAGGTGGTTCAGTGGTAGAGCGCTTGCTTTGCATGCCTGAGGCCCTGAGTTCGATTCCTCAGTACCACATAAGCAAAAGGAAAAAAGCCAGAAGTGGCGCTGTGACTCAAGTGGTAGAGCACTGGCCTGGAGCTGAAGAGCTGAGGGACAGCACCCAGGCCCAGAGTTCAGGCCCCACGACCGGACCAAAAAAAAAAAAAAGCATTAAAATAAAATCTGGTGCTAGAAATGAAACTCAGGGCCTTACACATGCTAATAAGCACATGGACCTTGATCAACCTAAACCGCCAGCCTCTATTTTGATTATTTTTGATCCCACAATAGGAAAATAGGTAATTATATAAAATACAACAAATATTCTAAACAGCCCAGGAGAGGAGGTTAGGTTTACCCAAACCAACCATAAACCTTTGACACAGGCCTACCTCAATGCTCAATACCTTCCATACATTTAGATAGGACTTCTTTGGTTTAATTATAAGGCACACATAAGAGAGGCTTTGGTTTATTTCTCCTGGTTACATCCAGCCCTTTTCTTTCTTTTTTTAAAAATTTGTGTTGGTACTGAGACTTGAACTCAGGGCTTGGTCACTACCCTTTAGCTTTTTCTTTTTTTTTTTTTTGCCAGTCATGGGACCTGAACTCTGGGCCTAGGCACTATTCCTCAGCTCTTTAGCTCAAGGCTAGCGCTCTACCGTGTGAGCCACAGCACCACTTCTAGCTTTTTCTGCTTATGTGGTGCTGAGGAATCGAACCCAGGGCCTCATGCATGCAAGGCAAGCACTCTACCCCTGAGCCACCTTCCCAGCCCCCCCTTTAGCTTTTTCACTCCACACTGGTGCTCTACCACTTGAACCACTATGCCACTTCTGGCTTTTTGCTGGCAAATCAAAGATAAGCATCTCATGGGCTTTCTTGCCCCAGGCTGGCTTCAAACCACAATCCTCGAATCACAGTTTCTAGAGGAGCAAGGATTACAGGCATGAGCTACTGGCACCTGGCTTTCTTCTGCCTTCTGAGTGCAGAGATTAGAGGTGGGTATTACCACACCAGTCAATTCTCCTTTGTCAATTCCTGATCTCGGAACAGTGCAGCTGTGTCTGATGACCCCGGAGGCCCTGCCTCCTGACCCCCAACCCATCCACCTGCCGACCTCAGGCCTCACCATGGTGAAGTAGGCTGCCGCCTGCTCCAGCAGACCCACGAGCCCCAGCTCCGTGAAATGCTTCCCAGAGCAGAAGCCTTCCTCATCGGGCGACAGGATGTCATCGGAGATGGCCGACTCCTCCAGCACGTTGGATGAGATGTTCTGCCACCAAAGGAGGACATCGGGGTGCCGATCCTGGGGCACTCCCTCCCTTTGGGCTTCCCCCCCCCGGTCACCTGCTCCCCACTCACCTGGAAGGACACGCAGCCCACAGGCAGGTGGCGGCTGTCCTCCAGCAGGGCCAGGTACTCGGCCACCAGGGCGGCCGCGTGCACCATGCACTGGGCGGCCTCAGCGTGGTTGCCCAGCTCCGCGTGCTTGCCTGCCATGTTCTGGAGCCACGTGAGCCGCAGGTCTGGGGACCCCTGGTAGCCCCGGGCGATCCTGGGTGGGTGGGGGGAGTCCACGGTGAGGGGAGGTAAGGGCAGAGACTCACTCTTCTCCCCCCCTCCCCCCCCGTACCCATCTGGTACCCAGGGTGCTTGTGCCCCATTTACCTGTCCACCTGCCCAACCCTGCTGTGCCTGACCCACCTACCATCCACACCACCCCGGCCCAGCCTACCCTTTCTCCCCGCCCTGCCCACCTCACACCTTCCTCTGGCACCTGGCTGCCATTCCCCCCCACCTCTGTTTCCATATCCAACCCCCCCATCTGGCATTCTCCCATCTTTCTTTCAAACACCCTCTTCTCCACATCTGTTGTTCCTCTAACCAGTTATCTCTTCATCTGTTGCGGTGTCCTCTGTCCCCCTTCACCTGTCAATCACCTCACATTCTGTGCGTTTGGATGTTTTAGGGGAGCCAGTGCATGCTAGGCAAGTGTGCTACCATCAAGCCATGCCCCCACTGTGGAGCCCCGCCTCCTAGCACCAAGCCACGCCCCCATCCCAACAGAGTTCAGACCTTCACTATCCCCCACAAAGGACCAAACGTTAAAGACGTCAGTCACACCCACAGATGCTACTGGGAAGTGGCAAAACCTTTAAGGGACCTTGTGTGTGTGTGTCGGGGGGGGAAGGTCTTTAGATCAGTGCAATCCTGGTCTCCTCCTCATTCTCTTTGGCACCCTGGCCATGAGGTGAGCCCCTCTATGATATTCAAAGCAGTGGACCTCAAACCTAAACAGAGCAAGACACTGGCGGCTCACACTTCTCACACTAGCTACTAAGATCCAGAAGGTCACAGTTCAACGACAGCTAAGTCATGAGACTCTACCTCCAATTAACCAACACAAAGCTGGGCTGGAGGCGTGGCTCAAGAGCATACATCCTCCTCATCTGTACTACTAACAGCCTTTTTTTTTGGGGGGGGGGGCCGGTCCTGGGGTTTGAACTCTGGACATGCACAATGTCCCTGAGCCTCTTTTGTGCTCAACGCTAACACTCTACCACTTCTGGCTTTTTCTAAATACTTTATTGGAGATACGAGTCTCACAGACTTTCCTTCCTGAGCTTCAAACTTCGATCCTCAGATCTCAGCCTCCTGAGTAGCTGGAATTACAAGCATGAGCCACCAGTGTCCAGCTTTGACAAACTTTTTTTTTTTTTTTTGGTCAGTCATGGGGCCTGAACTCTGGGTGCTGTCCCTCAGCTCTTCAGCTAAAGGCTAGCACTCTACCACTTAAGCCACAGTGCCACTTCTGGCTTTTTCTGCCGAAATCAAACCCAGGGCCTCATGCATGCAAGGCAAGCACTCTATGACTGAGACCCCTTCCCAGCCCAATGACAACCTTTATAATCTGTTCATCCTCTCCTGTCCCCCTCAGCTGCCAATGTCACCAGCCTGCTTTTGTTGTCCCTCTGACCTGGACTCTCGCTCTTCTGAGTGTCTCCCTGTCCTTCCCTGCCGGCAGGTGGACGTGGTGCCCTCACCTGTACATGAGGTCAATGAGCATCTCGGGGTCCTCTTGGTGCTCCTTCATCTTCACGGTGTCGGTCAGGATCATGTGCAGGTTGAACATCAGGTCCTGGACCTGGGGTCGGAGAACGTCCAGGGACAATGAGGGTGGTGATGGGCTCCGGGGCCGAGGACAGGTGGCTCAGGGTGGGTGGGAGGCCCAGGGGTGTCACCTGCTCGGCAAAGGTGCTGTCCCGCAGCCCCACGTCCTCCTCCGCATAGGTGAGAATGGTCTTGAGGGATCTCCTCAGGTGCTCCTCGCTGAAGTTCTGGGTTGTCCCCACGAGGGATGACAGTGACATGGTCACCTGCATCTTCACGCGGGCAAAGTTCTGCGGGGACAGGGGCAAGCAGAGTAACCCCCCGGAGCCTCAGATCTCAGGGCACCAAGGCCTGGGCCACCTGCGGACTTGTTATCCCACAGAACCCCTGAACTACTTCCCCACCCCCACCTGTCCACGCTCCCACACTCTCATATCTGACCCCCTTGTCCCATTTTGGTTGTTGTTGTTCGTGGGGCTTGAACTCAGGGCGTAGGTGATGTCCCTGAGCTCTTTTGCACAAGGCGAGCGTTCTACCACTTGAGCTACAACACCACTTCCGGTTTTCTGCTGGGTCATTGGAGATAAGAGTCTCACGGACTTTCCGGCTTGGGCTGGCTTTGAACCGCGATCCTCAGATCTCAGCCTCCTGAGTAGCTAGGATGACAAGCATGAGCCCCGGGCGCCCAGCTTTACCCAGTCTGTTTTTTAACAATGAGACCCACAGGGAGCCTAGAGTCGATCATGTCTTGGCCCCTAATAGGCTCCTCCACTCCCACAAGGCCACGCCCACCTTGGATAGGTCCCCCCCACTTTGCTTGTCCCTGCCCTGCTTAATTAACATAGGCCACGCCCTGTGCCTTGGGTAGATGCGTTCTTGATTAGACCACGCCCCTTCGCTGGGTAGGCTGCACGGGAGGCCACGCCCACCCTCCTGGCCCACGCCCACCCGGGTAGACCACGCCCCCACGCACATGGCCGATCTCGAAGTTCTGGCGCATGAGCAGGTAGAGCGAGGCGCTGGCTTGGGTGCGGATGGCGCTGATGCGGCTGCCGCAGTGTCGCAGGAGCCTCAGGCAGAGGTCGGCGCACAGCTCCGTGTCCTCCTCAAACAGCAGCTCCGGGAACTGCTCCCGGGACAGACAGACAGACAGGCTGAACCCCGCCTCGTCCAGGCTCAGAAGCGCTGATGGACACCCAGCGGGGCTCCCCGGCCAACCACGGGTGGCAGGCTCATGCCCTTGCTGTGTGAACCTGGACAAGTGACCTGGCCACTCTGATCCTGTCGCCTCCTTTGGAGGAGCACACGATATAGGCCTTGGGGGGGTGGGGGGCTGATTCTTTTCTTTCTTTTTTTGGTGGTTCCATTGATTGAACCCAGAACCAGAGGCTCAGGCCATTTTTCCGATCTCTGCCTCCTGAGGAGCTGAGATTACAGGCAAATACTACCACATCTGGCCCAGGCTGACACTCTATGAATTGTGGCGAAGGGAGGCTTACCTTGGACACCAAAGCCCTCTGGGTAGCCAGGCCGTGCTGTAAGAAGAGGGCACTCTGGGAGCTCCCCAGACTGAACAGCACCACCTTCAGCACCGCACCCAACACACTCTCCCGGGCCTCAGACAGCACCACCGTCTGCAGAGAGGGATGTCAGAAATCCAGATGTTAGACACGGAGGTGGTTATGGGAGCAGGAAAGAGAGGGATCGTGAGTCAGAGATCCCAGAGTGATGAGCACATGGTAAGGGAAAGCTGATGGGTCAAGGCCTACCTGCACGATGATCTCCAGCGTGTCCAGAACTATCAGACTAGCCTCAGTAGCCAGGTTCCCATCCACCAAGGCCTCATGTTCCATTTCATCCTTGGTCCTGGAGTGGGGGGAAATCATGAAGGCACTGGGAATCAGAGTCCATCTCATAAGGGAGCTTTCTCTCCATGCCTTGGCTGATCTGAATCCAACAAATTCGTTCCCACGTGCAACAGTTTGGGTGTGGTTTGAGTGTGTATGGACCCCCAAGCGACATGGATAGGTGTGGTTTTCAGTGTGGCCATTTTTAGAGGTAGAGATTAGGACTCAAGAAAGTAGCTCGAGCTGGGCGCTGGTGGCTC